TTATACAATACCAGGATGAACAAGCAGCACGAAAGACAATCAAACGAAACATCAATGCATGGAACGACACTGTGTCGCGCGACACAGCGCGCAGGAACTGGGAAATGAGTCTCATCCTCTCATGACTCGAATCCCAATCTGTTCCACTGCAAACCTGTACCAAAACGTCCACAACAACCACAATCCAAGCAAAATCACAGCAGCAATCAAACATATCGTATAACCTACTTCCTGAGAGTCTATGGTCGCGCACTCACCTCGAAGAATCAAAATGAAATGAAACCAACGTTCACTAAAACCCTCGTACACGACGAACCACTGGTCCAATTCCGAAACAGGCAACTGTTCTGGAAACTAGACACACACAGCTACGCGTCGGTATGCGGATCGCCTCCAGACATCTTCTGGTTCGATCGGAATTCCCCTCTGAATCCGACTGATCGCAGATAACAATCTGCACAGACCCATCGAGTTCAAACAGCCATAACTCGGTGAACAATCGACCAAAAGACGAACCGTTTTCGCCTATAACACGAGCAAAGATTGGAGAACTTACCCCCCTAAAAATCACTCCAATCCGCCTTGAAAAGCCCAGCCGTTTGCCCTCTCAAAGTTCCGATTCGAAACTGTCCCTCTCACACAATCACCTAAATCCTCTCTCAACCCTTTTCTCTCTGATTCTTTTCTCAAAAGCGGCTAAACAGACCAAAACACGGCTTCCCCATCTGCTTTTATAATAACCCTAGGGTTTCCCTAAACCATCACGCAAACCGTGCGATCAAACCCGACTTACCGGTCTGATTAAAGATTTGCGTCGTTCGACGCACCTCCCCTGCGTCGCTCGACGCACCACCAAAAATACACATTTTGGTTCACGGGCGTTACAACAACGATCTAATTTGATTCAAATTTAATAATCTAATCTTGTTTTAAACCAATCCAATTAAATTATATACTGGAGACAAGTGTGTATCCAAGAGAATCAAAATCATTGAATCAATAAAAGAATTCAGAGGAGTCACTTCAAAACACCCTTGGTTTGTTTTCACCAATCCATAATCCTTTGTTTTTCAAATCGAACATTGAAACTCACTTGTGGTCCGAAAACAAAACACATGAACATAAAGGGTGTAAACAGTAATGGCTGAATTTGGCTGAATTGCAGAATCTGGCTGATTTTTTTGTGATTTTTTGCAGAATCTGGCGGAATAACTTAAAACTTAAATGGTAACGGCTGAATCTCGCAGAATCTAGCTGAATTCTTGAAAATTAGTAAATAAACTAAACTTATTAAAATAAAATTTAAACAATGTTGTTTGTAAACAAAAATAGTCAAATAAATTAGTAAAATATTAGTTTTAAAATTTGATGTATTTAATAATTTCTTTAAACATAAGATAACAACATAATTTGACACAATAACTTGTAACTTGTAAGAATTATTTTTTAAAATTCGTTTGTAATTTTAGATATCTTAAATATTCTACTCAATTAAAAATTTCCATTATCTGACAGCAATTCGAAGTATAACGAATTTTATGTTACCACATATTGAATATCTAAGAATTAAAGAATATCTCCAAACATGAA